GCTTTCATGCCTAAACCAGCACTAGAAGTCAAGTCACCCAGCTGGTTTTCATGCCTATGTGGGCACTAGAACTCAGTCACCTAGTGATTGACCCAGTCACCCAGCCTGATTTCTTAAGGTGGGGCTAGAACTCCCGTCTCCTGGTGATTGGCCCAAAGCCACCCAATTCCCCTTTGATGCCTCAGGCCAAACTATAACTCCCAGCCTGGTGCCAAGAGTATTCCAGTGCCCCTCTTGAATGACTGGGAAGCTAGGCCAGCCTATCAAGGGAGAATAATGGGGGGGCGGCTTACCTTCAAGCGTTTGACCACTTCGTCGTTGGTGATCTTATCCGTGATCTCCTTCACTCCAGGCGGGTAGAAGATGATCTTGCCATCGGGGGGAGGCTTAGGTTGGGTGGACGGGAAGTCCATCCTGGCGCTGATGCCGCCGCTGCCGTCGAGAAAGTTTCCTTCTCCGCAGGCTTCTACCGGCCTCTGCCGGTGGCAAAACAAAAGTTCAGACTTTCCCCAGCCGTTGATTTCCTCCCCCATTTCGAAGCCTCGAGTGGAAATAAAGGCCCCTTTCCCACGACGACGACCGGGCTCGCCGCTCGTTTCCACCCTCTCCGCGTCCGGGCCGGGCCGAGTCCCACGGGGGCCCGCCCGGCAGCGCCTTCCTTCCCCCACCCTCACGCGGCTTTCCGCGATCAGCCCCTCCGGGCATCGCTACCACGATGAGAGCCGGGCTCGGGCGGGAGCGTTGGGGGAAGAAGGAGCCCCCAGGGCCCGCAGAAAGATCCTAGCGGGGAAGGAGAGTCCCGCCGCCAGGATAAGGCGCCTCCCGCAAGCGGGCAGGCGAGGCCTAGAAGTTAGGCCTCAAAACGACCCGCAACACCCGGTGGGGGCAGGGGGTGTCCCTCACACGGCCGGAGGAGCCCCCCGGCCACTCTGCGGCCACTTGGGCCGCTCCCTCGGCAACTTTTACCTCAGCACTTCCCTCAGGCGACGCCCGGCTCCGGCCAAGATGTCGCCCCTGCCCTCACCGGCGACTGGAAGAAGCCACCGCCGCCGCCGCCGCCAGACAGATCCCCGCGCCCGGCCCGCCTTTTTACCTCATGCAGCTCCGGGAGGTGCAGCATCGAGCAGGCGGTGGCGGAAGGCGGCGGTGGTGGTCGGGGTCTCCGGCGTTTCTGCCGCTCGCTGGTGCTGCCACGATGCGGACCGACCTGCTTTTTCCCCCCCGCCGCCCCGCGCGTCTTGCCGCCTCAGTCAGGCCCGGCGGCTGTCGGGGACGCCTGGGCCGAGCGTGCGCCTGGCCGCGGGGAGACAGTGCCGCTCCTCGGCCGGCCGGGGAAGAACAGCCCAGGAGGAGAGGAGGTGAGGCCGCCGCTCGGCGCTCCTCTCCGGCGACCGTCCTTCCACGCAGGCGGGGAGTGAGTAGGCCCGCCCTCCTGGCCGTGGGCCCAGTCGGATGGGGCCTTTCTGCGCTCGGGACCGCGGGGAGGCGTCGGCGAGGGCAGCAGGCCGCATCCTCCGAGCGGCGTCTCTGAGGCCTCGGGCCTGGCTGGATCGGTTGGTTGGCCGGCCGGGAACCGGCGTGGGACCTTCCTGCGGGATTGTTTGTGTGTGTTTTCTCTTCAAAAGGTCCCCTTCGAGGCCCTGACTTCGGAGTAAATCTCTTTAAGGGGGTCCTGGGTGGGTTTCCCCATGTAATAAATAAGGAATAAAAAGACTAATAAAAAGAATATTTGCAGGAAAGCTGGGATGGTGGGGGGAGTGCTATTTGGGGACTTTAGATGAGCGGTTCCCAATATTTCAGATTCATTTAAGTTTTTCCATCTTAATTCATGATTCATCTTAATTGAACTAATTCTCAGTGCTGTCTAAGGGCTGTGTGTATATTTTTACCCATGTAGTATGGCTGCAGTATTATTGTGTATATTTGCCCATGTGGTATTATCCTTATTATTTTCTTTACCACCCACTCTTATTGATATCATGCAATGATTATTGTTCTGTTGCTTTGCGTGTACAGGAGACAAATTCCTTGTGTACACTTGACCAAATAAAGTATTTTATTTATCTACTTTATTATTTATCTTAATGTATTAATTTATCTTAATTTATTAAATAAAATTATGAATTTATTTAATTGATCAAATGTATTAATTTTTCTGTTATTCGGTTATCTACTATTTATCTTGCTCTCAAGATGAGTAATGGGAAATAAAGTGCACAAGAGACTGAGAATGCTGGCTTGGTGTCTAGGTGATTAGTTCTAATCTCTTCATTTTAGCTAGTTTGTGGTTAGTTTTAGCTTAGCATGTGGCTTAATGTGTGATGAAAATGCAACTGATCCCTGGTGAGCTGGCTTCATTTAGGGCAGGGATGCCCAATGTTGGCAACTTTTAAGATTTGTGGACTTCAATTCCCAGAATTCTCTAGCCGGTTACACTGGCTGGGGAATTCTGGGAGTTAGTCCACAGGTCTTAAAAGTTGCCGAAGTTGGACACCCCTGATTTAGATACAGGATGTTCTTTGGATGCTGTGTTTTCAATTGTAGCTTAGTCTATTTTAGCATTAAAAATTGCAGTAAAAATCTTTGAGAAAAAAAAGAAGGGAGGAGTTATTAGGTATGTTTGCTGCCTTGAGTTATTTATTAAAATAATGAAGACTGGATAAAAAGGTTTTTTTTTTAATGTGAAAGTTACCAATTTCAATAAACATGATTAAGCCTACCAGCATTGTGTATGACATATCTGGTTGATGATTTCGATCTAATGGAACTTGTTGCTTTAAGAAGTTAAAACACCCAGTAAAATGATTTGGGTTACTAATGATACTTGGACACAATTGGGGTTGCACAGGTGGGCAAATATAGCTTATTATTCAAAAGTAAGATTGTTCATAACTGGTCAGTGATGATGACAATTTTATACTAATCGCCAAAAAGGGAAACTTTTTTTAACCTACTTTATATTGAACCTGCTTTTGTCCTGTCATTTATTCCGTTTTCCTATGCTGCTGTCATGCTATTTCAGCCATGTTTCTAACCTTTGCCAGCATTATGTATGTCACACTGTTATCAAATAACTTTATTGTTTAATTAATTAAATTTATATGTCACTCACCTTGCTATCAAGTTTTTCTGGATGGCTTGCAGTTTAACTACATATTTTTACATATAGTGACCACACATGAAGAAGAAAAAGATGCAAATACTGTGCAGATATTTGCAAATTTGAATGCAACTAGAACTGCCATAATGATTTTATACGTTTTAATTTTTGATTGGGAGCCTCTCAAGAGTTGCTTGAAAAAGGGTGGCTATATAAATATATTAAAGAATGTTTTTAAAAGCAAAATTGTAGTCACTGCCTGGGGCTTTGAGATCTAGATGACATCTAGCCATTTCATATTACTGTATTTCATTTAATGTGTCTACTACTGCATTAGTAGCTTGTAACTGGCCATGAGTTTTACAATTCTCAGGGTATATCTGACGTGTATGAAATCTTAAATATAGATCCCAAAAAGGGTATGTAGGAAACCTTGGTTTAGATTTCAGTGGCTTCTGTTTGTGTGGGATACAAATAAATGTAACTTTGAACACACATCAAAGAGGGAAAGCTGGTTTGGCATTTTGGATCTGAAAAAACAGGTTTAGCTGGAGTTATAAGCAAGTCCTTCTCATACCAAACTTTTTTCATTCCTAAGACTGCGGTGCTTTGGATTTCATTCTAGTAAATGCAATAGAAATGTGAACGCATATCTATTATGTCTATAACTAATTAATGCATTTCAAAAAAACATTCTGAGCTCTTAACAGTAAGTCTTTTCTTGACCTGAAGGAACGTTTTAAATTATTTTTACATCTCGGGGGGCATCCTTGAACCATCACCCAGAGGCAAGTCTAAAAACATCTGGCTTTTAATTCTGTCACGTTGCAATCAAACTCTGGCAGCACAATCTGAATTATCCCTTTGTTGCAGAATAGGAGCTAGGAAATGCATGCAACTTGTGGGTATGGTGCAGTGACTCTGGGGTTTGCACTGGCACCAAGGACAGATCCAAAGTGAAGTCCATCCTTGGTCTTGTAAGTTCACAGGGACTTTTGACTTTGGGGTAATCCTCTCTCACCCCAAGCACCCCACAAAATTGCTGTTTTGCAAAAAAAAAAAAAAGTAGAGGAAGAAAGGTCCCACCCAGTTCTCCTTCTGTCCTCCTCCTGTCATCCTCCTCCCCTCCTCGTCCTTTTCCTCCTGTCCCTTCCTTCTCCTCTTCCTCCTCCTTCTGTCCCCTCCTCTCCTTCCTCCTGTCCCCCTCCTCTTCCTTCTCCCCTCCTCTTCCTCCTCCTCCTGTCGTCCTCCCCTCCTTCTCCTCTTCCTCCTCCTCCTGTCCTTGTTGAAATGATGTTGCCTAGTTTTTGCATAACGTCCACAAGCAAACCACCAAGCTCAGAGATCACCAAGGAACCTACAGTCCTCCTCTCCCCAAACCCCACTCCTTCCTATCCCTCCAAGGTGTTGCCTATTTCGGTAATGCCAAGGACCCCCGCAAGGAAACCACCGAGCAACAGAGGAACCCCCTCCTCCAGCCCTGGCCTGTCCATATATCTCCCTTATGGGATCCCGGGCTGCCAAAACTCCCAAGCGGCCGCAAAGGCACCTCTCCCTGTCCGCCCTCCAACGGGCCTCGGGCCCTTCGCGGGAAGCCCGAACGGCGAACCCCCGGAGAAGTCTTCCCTCCCCGCCCGGGCCTGCCTCCACATGGACGCTGCAAGGCCTTCCCGCGAGGAGCGAGCGGTAGGGCCCGGCCGGGCTCCGGGGGAGGGAGAGTCGGCGGCAGCTCCTCCTTCACTTGGCGCGCTCGGGCCTCCTTGGCTGCTCCTCCTCCTCCTCGGTCAGGAAGTGCCGCCAAGGCTGCTGGTGCTGCTGCCGCCGCCGAGGCCGCCCCCCCCCCCCTGCAGAAGGAGGCGGATCTGCTGGCGAGGTAAGGGGAGGCTGCGGCCCTCAGAGAAGGCCGGAGGGGCTGAGAGAGGGAAGGAAAGGAGGCGCCCTCAATGGCGGCGCCTTTTTCCCGCCAAAAAAAGGAGGCCGCTTTGCCTGGCTTCTCCCGGCCGGGCTCCCAATCCCCACGGCGGCGCCGAAACACGGACCCTCCTCATAAAAGGAAGGGCCGGGGGCTGGAACCCCCCCCCTTTCCCCCACCCCCCCCCCAAAAGCCCTTCAAGGTGGGGGAGGGCCCGTCTCCCCTCAGGATTAACCAACTTCACGCGCCCCTCCAGGCCGCCCTGCCCGCTTTTATTTTTATGCATGGATCCTCGGTTTTGACTCGTCTCCTTTCCCCCCCCACCCCCGAAAAATTGGTTCCTCTATCCCGCCCCCTTTGGGGAAAGGGCGATCGGCTCCCCCTCTGATTAAAGGCAGTCCTTGATTTACAATGGTTCGTTTACTGACCGTTCATTGTTAGGATGGATTGGTGTGTTCACAGTCAGAAAAAAACCCCGATGTACAGGTAGCCCTCGACTTAACAGTTCGTTTAGTGACTGTTCAAAGTTACAGCAGCACTGGGGGGGGGGGCGGAAAGCGGGGGTTATGACTGTTTTTTCCTCAGGGATGACATTTGCAGCATCACATTTTGCAACTTTTTGACAGTAAAGGGGAAGCCAGATTAACTTAACAACTGGGTTACTAATGTACCAACTGCAGTGATTCGCTTAACAACGGTGGTGAGAAAGGTCGTAAAATGGAGCAAAATTAACTTAACAAGTGTCTCGCTTAACAGAACTGTCGGGCTCAGTTGTGGTCGTAAGTCGAGGACTACCTGTAGTTAAAAGAGTTCCTGGAATTATTAAAAATAACAATAAATCTGTTATGGTTTGATGGGAGGCACATGCCAACTTTGGATAACATTAAAAAAAATCATACAGGTAGTCCTCAATTTACAATCTCTTGTTTAGTGACCGTTTCAAGTTACAATGGCACTGAAAAAAAAGTGACTTAGCACCGTTTTTCTCACTTAATGACCCTGATCAAAATCCACGCGCTTGGCTTCTGACTTGTATTTATGAACCTGGGTCACAGGTCCCCTTTTGCAACCTTCTGACAGACAAAATCAGGGCTCATTTGTGGTCGTAAGCTGAAGACTATCTGTATTCTACTCTATTTGTAATAATAGTACAGCATATTTAATTTTTTAACTTGTACTTACTACATTGCTCTTTGCTTTTAGAGTGAAATGGCATAGAAAAGTTATTCCCCCTTGTACCATAATTGGACCAGCTATTTACTGTAATTTAGAAATGTCTTAAATATCCTTATTATTCTTGAGGTTTCTGAACACAGCATTCCATCATCTCCAATATAAGTTTTATGCTAGTGTTCTTGACTCTGATGTTTTTTTTTTCTTTCAGCTATGGAAATGTTGCTTTTTTTTCTTTTTCTTGAGCTTAGATTGAGAATCAGTTGGCTTATTTTCTGTACATCTCCAGTAGGCATTTGTTTAATAATCATAATGACGCTGTGGTAGTCATGCAGATTAAAATAAAAGTCCAATAAAAGCTCTCTAGTCCAGCTGGACACTTGGAAACTGCACAAACATATCTATTCACTTTTCTAAATGGTTACAGAAATGATTTGCCATTGTCCTGTTCTTTAAGTCAATCCCGACTTCTCTCTGACATCTGCTTAAAAAACTCCCAAAATGATAATTTAATTTTTTCCTTTCCGCTTTTGAATGTAAATGCTTAAGAGCCTTGCTTAATTTCTCCAATAAAATTAATGAATGTGAAATTTCAGAGGCTGCAAAAAGTATGAGTAATGATTGTTGAATAAATTATAATAACAAAGTATTTTAAGCTCAGCTGCGCCTTTTGAAACAAACTTATTTTCCCTTAGCCTTTCATAAAATTGTATACAAAAATTCTTGTGGAATCCTAGGGTTTGAAAAATCTTTAAAATAGGAGATGAAAATCTCTATTTGCATTAATGAAGCTTTTAGGGGCCACTTATTTATATTGCATATATAAAATGCACTATTTTTAAATTAACTTGCTGATAAATGTGGTGTATTATTTATTTTTAAATTTATTTATTTTATAAATTGGTGATGTTGCTATGGTGTACACTAGATTAGAGCTCTGAAGATTAAAGCAAGTACATAAATCTTATTAAATAAATGAAGGATTAACAATATGTTATCTGTTATTTTTAAAAGCATATGTAATTAACTCTTGTGATCATAGATGGTGATGTAACCTTTGACCCTTTTAAAAAGACATAACTGTTTGGTCCATACTGCTTAATATTTTTCTATCATCCATCCCACTCAAAATATATGTTTTAAATTAATGTCAAATAAAACAGCTTCAGGGAGATGTCCAAAATTGCTACAATGTATGCTGTATGCTTAAACTTTCAATATCAGAAACTTTGTCCTGTTTCTTACAGTCAACCTGGAAAACGATGAGAAAGAACTGAGCATTGTGTAAAAATACAAGAGCTTTTCTCGACTCTTTTTAAAATTAGACTGACTAATTTCTTCTTAGTAATTCTGTTCTTACTGGTCCCCAAATGCCTCAAAGGCTATTGAGGAAATTAACAGCGTATAGGAGTTAATTAAAGGTTATGTTGATGTAACAACCAGTATGGGTGTTTCTCATTAATTCACACTGCCCCTGCCTGTTTAATATATTACAGTGTATAAGACTTGTTCAAAGAGATACATACAACATATTTAGAGATAAAATACTTTTTTCAAAAGAAATTTTTTAAGCCCAGCAAATTTTCCAGAAGTTTCTTTAGCAAATACCCAAAATGAAAATTATATACAAATCTTTAATTATCCATTAATGTTTATCTGGGAATTGTAGGTGCCTCTAGAATTAACATTATTTGAAGAAAAAGTTTGCCTTCCTATCAGGCAAATAGCATATATTTTGGAGCTATAATACCACCTCTGTTTGAAAACCTTTAAACAATCACCGAATTCAAGAGAGACAGAAAGACAGTCCTTTTTTATCTATATTTGAAGAAGAAAAGAAATTAGAGGAGCAATTTTTCTGAAATATATTGAACATTATTAAAAATACCTTTGTAATAGCACTTGAAATCCCTTTACAGGTAGTCCTCAACTTACGATCACAATTGACCCCAGAATTTATGTTGCTGAGAAATTTGTTAAGTGAGTTTTGGCCCATTTTACGACATTTCTTGCCCACCGTTGTTAAGTCAATCAATGCACTTGTTAAATTAGTAACAGTTGTTAAGTGAATCTGGCTTCCCCATTGATTTTGCTTCTAAGTAGGTCACAGAAGGGGATCACATAATCTCGGGACACTGCAATAAATATGAACCAGTGGCCAAGCATCCAAATGTAAACCATAAGACCCTGGGGTTGCTACAATAGTCATAAGTGTGAAAAATAGTCATAAATCACCTTTTTCAGTGCCTTTGTCACTTTGAACAGTCACTGGGTGAACTGTTGTAAGCCAAGGACTACCTGTATTATTTTTTTAATGTTATCAAAAATTGGCCTGTGCCTCCCATCAAACCCTAATGGATTTGCTATTTATATAATTCCAGGAACGCTCTGACTTTTTAACTACATTGATTTTTCTTACTGTATACCAATCCAGCCTAAAAACGAACAAATACAACTGAAAACAAAGATAAACAAAAACATTTGCTAGGGAGAAGCAGTTCTGATCTATGCATTTCAAACTGTGAATATATCAAATAAATCATTGGAGCGTAAGAATGAATAGAAACACACAGAACCAAAACTCGTGAACACAGAGCATAAAATGAGCAAAGTACAGCATTGTAGGTATGAATATACCCTTCTTGTTGAAGAGGAAGGAAATTCATGAGTGCTGAGTATGAACGAATGCTGATGTGATTTCAGTAAAAATGGGGAGGGAAGTAAATAAGTTACTTTGTGAATGCTTATACTGTATTTTGATATTTTTGAAGGAAAACAGCAAAATTAATGCTGTTGCATCTCTTTCCAGAACTAGTTCTAGCCCTGATGATGATTTTAAAAGGCCAGCTTTTCCCATCCCATCCCTCTGACAATTCACAGAGAAGTCTGAAATTCTTAACCACCACCCCCCCCAAAAAAAACTTGCAGATTTTCCTGTTGTAAAATCATTACAGGAAATGAGATGCGTGTATTTGCCAAGAACTAAATGAAACTTAACATAATTATCTGATGCCGCTTGATCTCTCTTTTATCTTTTAATTAAAATGATGCTGCAGTCTTTCCTCTCCCCCCCCCCTCCATTATAATACAGAAGGAACAGAACTCTGGAATAAGTGGACAGGTAGAGGAGTCCTTGACTTAAAACCATTGGTTTAGCAACATGTTCAAAGTTACAATGGCACTTGAAAATCTGATTTATGACCATGACAACATGCCTTTGGTCACATGATCAAATTCGCCCACTGGGCAACCGGCCTGTGTTTACAACTGTTCCAGTGTCCTAGGTCATGTGATAATTATTTGTGACCAGCCAACTTCCATCAAGCGAAGTCAGTGGGGGAAGCCGGATTTGCTTAATGACATCATAATTCACTTTAATAACTGTAGTGGTTCGTTAAACAACCGTGGCAAAAACGGTTGTAAAATCAGGCACAAATCAACAGCCTCTTTACTTAGTGGGAATTCTAGTTCCAATTATGGTCATAATTCGAGAGCTACCTATATAGGGTAGTATAGGGTGCACAACATAAGAGCTGTTATTTTGTTTTGCTATATTGTTGTCTTAGCTTGTATAATGGGGGGGGTCTTTCTAATTTTTCCCAAGGATTAATCACTGCTATTTAAATTTTCATCGCATGTGCTTCAAAGATTTGTATATTATTACATGTGATATCTGATAACTAAACTATCAGCTATGTTGATTTGAGTCCTTTTACAGTTTGGGTGGATGGTGGCTGCCACTGACATTTCTTCATTTTCTAATTTTTTAAATCCTTTTGCGGTATTCTTATACTAAGGTACATCAAATTGTCCTTCCTTTTCTCTTCCTAGAAATCAATCATGTGAAATATTTCATCTGACATGAATCTGCCTTTCTTAAGAGACCATCTTGGCAATTAACTGTTCACAGCATTTGTTTTGCAACATGTGATAGATTTTTAAAACAATTTTTGTTCTGCTGGTAATAACATATTCCTGAAATTAGTGTTCTTTTCCTATATTAAGATTTTTAGATTTTTTAAACTTAGGCATTTTTTGTTTATGGAATATATAATATCAAAAGTATTACATTGTAAGCTGCCTAGAGTTGTACTGAACAAGGTTGAGGATCTTCTAATTAAAATGGAGGCCTATAAGTCTTTGATAAAACTTCCAGAGAACAAAAATATTTTACTCCATGAAGATAAGCTGGAAGGGGTGACTTAAACTTAATGAGTTAACTGGAATTAGGATGCATTTTTCTCTGCATGATATGTGCAACTGAAAGAAAAGTTTAACCCCAAATTTGAAAATGTATTTTTTTACATACATACATCTTAAGTAATTCTTAAAGTAGGCAAAAGCTATTGAAAGTGTATTTGTGAGTTCCTGTATTAAGAGAAAGTTAAAGAAAATGATGCCACAGTTTAAAGAAAAACTGTTAAAAAGGATGTTTATAAAAGATATACATATATACATACAGTTTGGAGGGAAGGATCTAAATGCAATATTGACGTTTAAAGCTTGTATGTTAAGTCAAAGAAAAAGATGTATTAGAAAGTTTTGATTTTTAAAAAAAAAATTTTTAAAGTTTAGTACTTTGAAGGAAAAAAGGGTGGGGAAGGGGTTTTCCCCCGTTTTTTTTCAGTAAGGTCAAAAAATTTGAAAGAATACATTTGAAAGAATACATTTTGTAAATAAAAATGATGACAATTCATAAAGATTACTAGGTGCAAATAGAAATGCACATTTCCATAGCAAGGAAGATAAAGCAGGAATGGTTAAATTGAATACTTGATTTAAAGAGGAAAATGTGTTCTTATTTGGATATCACTTCTGGAATTCATGCTTGTGAAGAAGAAAAAATGAAACTTTGATCTTAGTTTTGTTGATTAGAAAGATTTGGTGTTATAGGAATGGCTAGTTGTATATTAATGTGTAAAAGCAAAAAGTTGGAGTGTTTATCTTGTACTGTGATAAGAAGAGTTGGAAGTCAATGCCCTGTTTTCTTTCTTTTTCTTTTCTCCTTTGTATCTCACACCCCCTTCTCCCCGCTCCCTTTCCTTCCCTTAATTTCCTATTTCTTTTCCTCTTGTTTTTATATAATAAAATAAAAATGATAAATTTAATAAAAAAGATAATATCAAGACTTAATTATGCCATTGAAGAACAAATAATCAAATCTGATTGCTTATACCCAGCATTTTACCCTGCTTTCAACCTTAAAACATTTCATATGTAAATATTTATAAATGTGATTTTTTAAAAAGATGTTACAATACCTTTAGGTTCAAACAAAATTGCTGCTTGAATATTCAACCATTATCCTTTTTTTTTTTTTTTTGCTTTAGTACTGCATTTATATTTCTTTTCCATTTGTAATCAAACTTTTTTCGGTTAAAGTGTAAAGAATTCCACTTTTTTGAGCCTGCTAGAAAGCACGGAGGGGGGGAAAAAGTTCCATCCAACGTCAGGATTCAGCGGCAGCTTCTAAAACACTTGCTCCTTCTCTCCGTTATAGGTTGGCTGCCCTCAACCCAAACATGTGGCCTGGAAGGATAACCTGTCCCATTCCCGACGTAAGCCCCGTCACGTGGGGAGTAGAATAACTCGGAGGCAATTGCATTTTGGGAAAAAGAAAATGCCAAAGAAAAAGAAAAACTTTGGCGCGAGCCCTTCAAGAAAAAACACAAACCCAGAGACAGTTTCTGCGACTGATGCCTCGTCCTCACCAGCCTCGTTACATGGAATCAATAAAGAAAGACTCATCAGCGGGCTTTCCGAAATGTTCTCAGATTTGGATCCAACGGTCATCTACATGGTGCTGTCTGAATGTGACTTCAGAGGTAACCACTCAATTTTGTGGTTATTTCCCTCCCTCCTACTCACTTTATAAAGGGGCTTTAAAAAAAAAGGATGCTGACATTTATGCCTATTCTAGGGGAGAGGTCTCCAACCTTGGCCACTTTAAGACTTGTGGACTTCAACTCCCAGAGTTCCTCAGCCAGCAAAGCTCTGGGAGTTGAAGTCCACAAGTCTTAAAGTGCCCAATGTTGGAGAGCCCTGTAAATCTAGGGATCAATTCCAGCCCCAGGAAGTACAGGGACTTACGACCACACTTGAGCCTGAAATTTGTGGTGCTGAGTGAGAATTTCTTGTGAGTTTTGCCCCATTTTTACGGCATTTCCTGCTGCCGTTCTTAAGCGAATCACTGCAGTTGATAAGTTAGGACCCTGGTTGTTAAGCAAATTGGGCTTCTCCGTTGACTTTGCTTATCCAAAGGTCGCAAAAGGGGACCACATAACCCCCGGGGACACTGCAACCATCATAAGTGTGAACCTGTTGGCAAGCACCTGAATTTTGATCACATGATCATGGGGATGTTGCAAAAGTTGTAACTGAAAAACAGTCGCAAGTCACTTTTTTCAGTGCTTCTGTCACTTTGAACGGTCGTTAAATGAACTGTTGTAAGTCGAGGACTGCCTGCATTCCATTGAGTCACTGGGACCTCTTGCATTTTTCCGTTGGTTTGCCTTCTGCTGTTGAACTTTCAGCGGAGCCAACGCCCATTATCCATGGAGACCTCAGGAACTTGCTGATGGGGAAAGGGAGGTCTTAGCCTCCAACCATGCAGCTACAGGTAGTCCTCAGCTTACAACCACAATTGACCCCCAAATTTCTGTTGCTAAGTGAGACCTTTGTTAAGTGAGTTTTTCCCCCCATCCCTTTTACGACCTTTCTTGCCGCATTTGTCAAAGGAATCAGTGAAGTTGTTAAATGAATAATACGGTTGTTAAGCAAATCCAGCTGTCCCATGGATTTTGCTTGTCGGAAGGTCATAAAGGGGGATCACGTGACCCCAGGAGGCTGCAACCTTCATTCATATGAGTGAGTTGCCAAGTGAATTGTAACTTTGAACAGTCACTAAATGAACTGTTGTAAGTTGAAGACTACCTGTATTTATTTATTTAGCATATGGCATACATATGCCATTGAAAGGGACGCAGTGGCTCTATGACTAAGACGCTGAGCTTGTCGATCAGAAAGGTCGGCAGGTCAGCGGTTCGAATCCCTAGCGCCGTGTAACGGAGTGAGCTCCCGTTGCTTGTCCCAGCTTCTGCCAACCTAGCAGTTTGAAACCATGTGAAAATGGAAGTAGAAAAATAGGGAGCCCTTTGGTGGGAAAGGAACAGCGTTCCCTGCGCCTTATCAGCGTTTAGTCATTCTGGCCACATGACCACGGAGACGACTTTGGACAGCGCTGGCTCTTCAGCTTGGCAACGGAGATGAGCACCGCCCCCTAGAAACGGAAACCACTAGCACGTAGGTGCGAGGGGAACCTTCACCTTTATGCCGTTAACTCTGACAGGGTGGAGTTGGGGTTGGAAGGATCATATTTCTTTGCAGTTATCTTGTTGTTAACCCTAACCCCCTAACTTCTAACCTAACCCTGAGAGCTCTTAAGGTTACTTGAGGGTTTATTTGTGCCTTCTTGTAACTGCTGCAAAGGTTTCTTGTAGACTAGAGATATGTGGTGTCTTATCCCTCCTCCTCTCTTGAGAGAGGACTGCTCCGTGTTAATATAAATGGCCTCTTTTACCTCTTTCAAACCAATGCTGCCCTCTATCCAGAAAGTGGACTTCGCTGTCCTCGAAAGAGTGACCTTTGTCTTCCAAATGCAGCTGGACTGCTGAATTTTTTTCCCGGTGGCTTTGATCTCCCACGTTGTGCCATGCGCCTGTGAAGTGGCTGTTTTGTTTCTGATCTGCTCATTGCATCGTATTGCATGTATCACATTGCTGAGTTTGTGTCTGGGTGTTTTATCCTTGTGGGGGACAGGCTTCAGCCTTGGTGTATATAATTGGGTTTAAAGTGGGTATGTATGTTGTGTTGGTTGAAAATCGTCTGGAGATTTCTAGATGTTCCTGCAACTCATGGAATGACAACGTTGCTTCATTGTTGTTCTCCTCTTTCTTTGTCTGTTTTGGAGAAGGGTCTTTTTCTGGATTGGATGAAGGTCCAGTTGTGATAGCCACAAGTTCTGAGGGCTTCATGAATTTTGTCTGATCTCAACTTTTACCAATCTCTATTTTCAATGACAATTAAAAGAACCAGATGTACTTTTTTTTAAAAAAAAAAGATAAGAACTCTTCCCAGTGATACCTTAGAATCCACATTTTAAACAAATCTATTTATCAAATTTTTATATCGCCCATCTCACTTGAGTGACTCTGGGCATTTTACAATAAAAGAAGGTTTTCAGTGCAATGTAAAAGTACCGCAATACTGTATTTACCTTGCTTTGTTTGTTAAAAAGACATTTTAGCGCTCTCAGTTTTTCTTTATTCATTAAATGTGCATGAATATTTGACAAGTCTTTCATGATAATTGTTGCGATTTTCTTTTCAAGTTGCACCTCACGAATGGTTTTGCGCCCATAACTCAAAATTCATGTTTAAATGTAAACACAATATTTAGATCAAGCATTATTTTTTTAAAAAAATTGCTTGCTTGTAGTCCTCCCTGTTAGTTCAAGGCACTGCTCTTTGGCCCCCCCAGGTAGCAGAATCTGTGAAGAGCGTCCTTTAATCAGTCTTTTTTTGAAGAGAGGGCAAAGGTCGCTGCAAGACGAAAGGAGACCCAGGTAATCTTTAAATGAAAATTCACTGCCTCGTTTATTTCTGCAATGCTACTTGAAGTTGGTGTGTAGAATCAGGAATAAGTTTAGTAAAGTAATCGTGTCCTTTCTTTGTTTTTACTAGTGGAAGAGACTATGGATTATCTACTGGAATTGTCCACAGCTGCTAAGGATACAGTATGTTCATCAAAAGTGTCAGGTTTTGATTCCCTGTCCGCATTGCTCGTTGGTGGAAATAACTCAAGCTGCAGTACTCATGAACTTGAGGGTCATGATACTACTGCAGTTGCGAAGAGTGGTGAAGAACCCTCATCCTCTGAAGAACTGGCACTCTTGATAGATAATTCTCTTGAGGACCGCAGTCGTAAAATTGAAGCAAAGAAATCAGAAAATGATCATCTCATAGGTAGCCTGAATCTGGCTCAGGACCACAATAATTCCAATTGCACTGAATTATATATGAACTCCAACGGAACAGCAATAGAAAACTGGTTGACTGCCTTAAAACCAAGTTATAAGGAAGCCGCTGAGTCGACATCCATATCAGAGATTGAGACAAAGGATATTCTGACACAAAGCCCAGAGAGTAACACTTTGCCAGAAGTTGTACTTGACAGTGGTGCCATTTCGGAAATTGTGATGTTAGCCGACAAGGCCGAGTCTTACACTGAGCCAAATCAAACACACAATGTTTTATTTGACTTTACGGCGGTAAGCACCCTGACTGCTCAACGTCATCAGATACTTGCAAAAATAGAGACCAACGCCTTTCCTAATTCTCCTGCTTCTTTGCAGGAGGCTGAAGGGCAAGAAAATGTAGTGGCTCTCTGTGATAATCTGAAACAATTCTGCGTTCCTGACCTGTGCGCAGGATCTGGTTTGAAATGGGCCCCTTTGACGCGGGAGGCTGATCCTCCACAGCAAACGTGGAGTTCACAGTTTTCTCTGTTTCAGAAATACCCTCAGCGGTTTCATTTTTATCCAGCTTTTGAAGCGCAATGGGGAAATCATAGCTTTGTGACTCCTATCGCAGTCAGTCCTGGGAAGTGGAGGCCAGCTTCGGATTGTGGGAGTCAAGGAAAGACATTTTGCTCTCCGGAAGTTTCTAAATCCTCGGAGAGCCTCTCTTGTGTGCCAAAGAGATGTGGCAATAAAAACGGGCGACCAAGACATCATTTTTCTCAAGACCACCAATTGCCTGGTGGTCACATAATGAACAGGAGGACCTTCGCAGGTCATGTACTGGTTCTCCTTCGAGGGCTTCCTGGATCGGGCAAATCCTACTTGGCAAGGTAGGTTCTTGTGTACAGAAGATTCAGAAATACGACGTTGCTGTCTTCTTTTTGCTCACACACAAATACATCATTAAATTCTATCGGTTAGCCAAATTCCCTTCTGACCTTATGCAGGTAGTCCTTGACTTAATAACAGTCTATTTAATATTACAGATTAACAGATTTGGAAGGGACCCAATAGGTCATTTAGTCCAACCCCCCTGCCCAAGCAAGAGACCCTACACCATTTCTGACAGGTGGGAGTCCAATCTCTTCTCAAAAGCCTCCAGTGATGAAGCTCCCACAACTTCCGAAGGTAACTTCTGTTCCATTGGTTGAAGAACAGTTGCTGGAATTGGATATGGCTAGTTTAATGGAAAGAAGGACCAGGGGTGTCATTGTAGCAGTCTTCCAAGGTATCAAGGGTTGCCACAAAGAAGAGGGGGGGTCAACCTATTCTCCAAAGCACCTGAAGCCAGGACAAGAAACAATGGATGGAAACTGATCAAGGAGAGAAGCAATCTAGAACTCAGGAGAAATTTCCTGGCAACCCAATTAATCAGTGGAACAACTTGCCTCCAGAAGTTGTCGATGCTCCAACACTGGAAGATTTTTAAGAAGAGATTGAACAACCATTTGTCTGAAATGGTATAGGGTTTCTTGCCTGAGCAGGGGATGGACTAGAAGACCTCCAAGGTCCCTTCCAATTCTATTTCTGGATACTACTTTTTATGTTTTTATTGTAAACCACTCACAATCACTAGATGAGATGAGCAGTGTAGCAATGTAATAAATAAAATAAATTATAAATTAGAGCCAATATAGTCCCAGTATAGGGACTATACAGCATTCATGACAGCCTGTGAACGTATGGCTTCTCTCACTACATCAAAAGACTGCCAGAGATTATTGTAAGTTATTTTTCTGAAAGATCTAAATAGTGAGAGTCGCAAGGATGAACAATACCCAGGTTTATTTTCACAATGATTTGTAGAAGATGAGAAGAAGGTGTTGAAAAAAAAAAGATGAGAGCTGTGTTTGTCATTGTTCGCAGGGTTTTGCTTGAGGATAATCCTTGTGGGATCATTCTTAGCACAGATGACTATTTTTATCAAAAGAACGGGCAGTACCAGTTTGATGCTGACTGTTTAGCTGACGCACACGAGTGGAATTGGAAACGTGGTAAGAATTTGATGCAGCAGAACGTGCAAATGCTTTAGAATTTGCTTTAGAAGTATAAACTTATTGATAAAAGTATAAAGAACTATAAATTTGATCAATAAATACACTAAAATGAATACGTTCTGCTCATCCTAAAGGAATATTTCTGTCAGGATTTATGCTAATTGTCTTTGCATTAGGCGCATATTAAACATCTGAAAAATTAGACCATTTTAGATAAAGTACACATACATTTTCCGTCCCTGGGCCCCTAATCAGTTGAAAAAACCATCCCTGATGAATCATATATGGAACTGCACTAACAAATATATTAAATTAAGGAAAAACGGCCCCTTGAGGAGCATTTGAAAATTTCAGTTGGTGCACAATATGGAGATACAGACAATTATGAATGCCACTCATTCAGCACATGTGACACATGAGTTCCATTGATTACCAGGATGTTTCTGGGTAGAATTCAAGCTACTGGTACCATGGCCTGGGGAGGTGGGTTAATTATGGGATGTTTATGGAGATTCTCAGCCATCCAGGTCATGGTTGTTGCAGAAGTGCTTTTTTCAGGAGGCAACTGGGCTTTCTTTGGTTTTTTTGAAGACGTTTCACTTCTCATGCAAGAATCTTCAGCTCTGACTGGATGGCAAAACCTTCCATTGCCCACCATCCTGTCAGAGCTGAAGAAGCTTCTTGGATGACAAGCGAAATGTCTTCAAAGAAAAACAAAGGAAGTCCAGTTGCCTCCTGAAAAAAAGTACCTTTGGGACCTATTTATGGGGCCATCTTTCCCATAAGGTGGTGTCTAGCCATTCTGTCAGACCTGGCAGCAGAGTCCTGTCTGCGAGAGAGTGTCATCTAGCACTGACAATGCTACCTACCGTGTTTCCCTGAAAATAAGGCCTATCCAGAAAATAAGCCCTACTGAGTGCCTGTGCAGCCAGCCACCTATTCTGTCTAGTTGCTCGCGGTGCTGCTAACACGAAGTGAGGCAAGAGGGTTGGTGGAGCTGCCCCATGCGCACACGGGCTTACCTCAGGGCCCCCACAGCTAGGCCATGCACACCGCGACAACTGCCTTGCAGCAGCAGCCCCAGCAACCATGTGCAGCAGGAGCCCACGTGGCCACCAGCCCATTTCCGCTTGCTCACGGCTGCAACGGAAGAGGATGAGCAACATGCCATGGCCGCCCATGAGGTAGCTAGGTGTCGGGGTGTGGATGGCCCAGCTGCAGGGGCCCCTAGGTAAGGCAGGGCACATGGGGCAGCTCAAAAAAAATAATAACACCCCCCCCCCCATAAGCCCTAATGCTTATTTCAGATCCCCAAAGAAAATAAGACCAGGTCTTATTTTTGGAGAAACACAATAGTTTAGTAAAGAAACATCCGTAAGAAAATCACCAACCTTAGTACAAAAGATCCTGAAGAGTGTCATCTGTTGGAATCCAGGGGTCTTTTTCTTGCCCCCCATGGCACCAGCGTTCTGGAACATTATTCCACAACCTTCCCCAAATTAGATTTGCCCTAACCCTGCAGGCCTTTCACAAGGCACAAAAAAAACCTGGCTTTGCCATCAAGCCCAGTTTATGACTTGTCTTGGCTGTGAGTTGTCTTGGCTGCTAATTTTGTTGGTTTCATATGTATATGAGATTGGCAGCCCATAAATTTATGAAATGATTAAAAGTGTTGCTTGAGAGATCTGGAGTTTCTTTTTAAATGTCTTGGAGTTTTAGTTCAATGTGTAGTTGTATAGTTATGCGCATTATTGCACATATTATGAATTATATATTTGGGTTCTTTTTATTCCTTTTGCCTACATTTGTAATTACTACAAGTACTTCAAAAACAGAGAAGCTGGAGAATTCAAAACAGATTATTAGAGAAGAACATACATCTTTTGTTTTCTATTAAGTAGTGATAATAAAAAATTGTTGGTTAGTTAACAATTAGTGTTTTATTTCTCAATTTATTTGTCAGCCAAAGAAGCCTTTGAGAAAAGGATCACTCCTATAATCATAGACAATACAAACACACAGGCTTGGGAAATGAAGCCTTACATTGCTTTGGTCAGTATTCCGTATTTTAGTGATATTATGTTGAATATTGTTTATTTATAGATAAATGGGTGCGTGTATATAGCAGCGTGCTTCAAAGGATGTAAAAAAAATCAAGATGATAATTATACTGGGGCCATCAATGGTTTGCACAAACAATCTCCACATAAAAAAATCAAGTAGAGCTTTTAGTGTGATTATAGGGTTGCCATTTTGATTTTTTTTACTATATCCTGTATAGTAAATATAGTATTTACGGTAATATTATGGAGTCCTTGGTGCTTTCTGAGCTTGGTGGTTTTTTGGCTGACATTTCATTACCAAACTAGATAACATCATCAGTACTAGATGCTGCACTAGATATCTGTGCCAAATCCCACTCCCTTCTAGCCCTGATAATGTTACTTAGTTGGGTCATGAAAGGTCTGCAAGAAAATAACCAAGATCAGAGAGCACCAAGAATCCTACAGTCACCATCATAGTTCTACTGCTACTATTACTACTATTCCATTTCACAAACCTCACTCCCTTCTAGCACTGACGATGTGACTAGTTTAGTAATAAAAAGTCTGCAAGAAAACCACCAAGCTCGGAAAGCACCAAGGAACCCACATTTCAACCCTGAGCTACAAATATTCTCTTCAGTCCATGCTATAATATTCCAGTCTAGGATTAGGGACCAAGATAGCCACAAATATCATGGCACCTGCTGATACTTTTGTTGCCCCCAAATGAGATTTTATTTTATTTTATTTTCTCCCTTGTCTGGAGTGCTGAATGTTGGCCTGCTCCTTAGATTTGGACTCCTTGTTCTTGTAGAGGATCCCTTTTTGTTTAAATTGGAAAGCCTTCCCGTGTAAATAAGTATGATTCAGATTAATTCGAGGACAACTTTTTTTCCCCTTTTGTTTAGCCCTATCTGGGAATCCCCCAGCTTTATTCACGTTAAAATAAATTATATTGAATCCACTGGGGATGAATCATATGCAAATACGATTAGGATTACTAGCTGGTCTTATGCTCTGAGAGCACTATAGAAATGAGACTTGAATTTTTCAAAAATATACGATAGAAGATATTGCCTTCAAGAGTTTTAACTCCTGGAGAGCGCCTAGACTATTTCTTGGTAAGATTTGGCCAAAATGGTTGGCATAGTCTTCTTTTTCCTAGAGTTAAGAGAGGGGGACTGGTTCAAGGAAGACCCTGCATAGGGTAGGACTAGAACTTGTTGTATCTTAGTTTCTAGCCTAGCACCTAAAGCACTAGGCCATATTAATATATAGACAGAGCTATTACAGAATTAATGAGAATGGTGATTATTATTATTATTATTATTATTATTTTACATTTTTCTTCAGTCACAGCAACACAAGTACAAAGTTATATTTCGTGAACCGGATACATGGTGGAAGTTTAAACCAAAGGAATTGGAAAGGTAATAATAGCAACAGTAGTAATTCTGTAACAACAGTATTGTGTCAGGTCAATGAGAAATAAATAATAAACATATCTCAGTTAGAAAGCAGTTCACTTGCTTGCAGAAAGCTTCTACTCAGCCTGCTTTCAAATTATCTATATTTCTGTAGTGCTATTCCTTTTTTTTGTGGCTTAGATTTTATTGGTATTTATAAGATTTCATAGAATAATTGGGAATGGCAACTTTATTTTCTGAATACTTCTGAGTACTCAGAGATACCAAGTTTTAATTTGTAGTTACTTTTTAAAAACATTCTCTCAAATATGTTAAAGTTTCATGCAGTATGCCTATGTTGTGGTGGTATATCAAGTATTTTGTTCTTTTCAATATTTAGGCGAAATGTTCATGGTGTATCCAAAGAAAAGATCAAAAGAATGTTGGAACGATATGAACATTGCCTGACTGCTAATTCAATTTTGAATTCTTCAATCTCAGATGACATGAGGAAGCGTGAAACCTGTGGTGAAATTCTTCATCGTGAGAAAAGGCAGGGGTAAACTTTCTACCAAAGTTTTAACCTTGCTGTTCAAAGTACGAAGTTTATTGTGGGGTCCTCGTGGACCTTGATAGTTTTCTTGAAGACATTTCATGATCCAACTGGGTCACATCAAGAGTGATATAAGAGAATAGTATTTGGTACAGTTGTGTCACGCCCCTGTTAGAGTTTGAATCTGAGATGGAAGACGAACAGCTGACTGAGAGCGGGAGAGTGGCCCCGTTGGCTGGGGTGGAAACTGGGGAGGGGCAAAGTCAGGCTGGGCAGAGCAGGGGAGAGGTAGAACAAGGGAGAGGTAGAACAAGGGAGAGGGGGTTCAGAGGAAGACCAAGGCCTACCCCCTCCTCATCCTAGGGCGCACAGGGAAGGACAGAGAAGAGAGCAACATGGGTTGCGTGGCTTATGGGGGAGGAAAGGGCCCTGATTCCCTTAACAAGGCACACCTGGGGAGGGAGTTTAAAGGAGAGGCAGTTGGGAGGGGCGTTTGTCGGGAACAAACACCGAATTCATCGAGTGTTGAGAGTTGTGGCCTGCATTTCTGGCCTTCTTCCTGACGGTTTGAATTATTGCTGTGCTTTTGTGTGCTTATCTTGTCTTGCTGGAATTATTGCCGCGCTTCTTGGACTCATTATCTGGCCCTGCTAGAGTGATTGACTGCAGGCATTCGGCTTACAGCGTTTGGACTGGAGTATCTGCAGTCAGAGGCTGCTACAGGTTTGTGGGAGAGCTTTTCTCCAGGCCGGAGAGTAAACGGGACGTTGGGGCCAAAGTTGGTGCCAATAAAGGGACTCATACTGGTTCTCTGGCTGGTGTTGCCTTTGTGCCACGCCCCGGGTCATCACAAGTTGTCTAGTGCAAGTTGTCTAGCCCTCATGCTAGAACATCAGACTGTGGGAGGACATCCGGGAGAGTTCCCTAGGCGGGGCATTCACAGTTTCAATAAAACCCTTAAAGTAGAAATGATATAATTTACCTTGACATTTCGTGTGTCCTGGAGATTTGCTGTTGTGCTTTTCCAGCAGCAAAACTTGAGTTCAAATGGGTTTGCTACACTAGCATAGTAGGAAATGTATAGTATTCTGTGAAGATAATTGTAAAAGTTGTAGACTAGGGGTGTCAAACTCGACTTCATTGAGGGCTGCATCAGGGTTGTGTTTGACCTTGGGAGGGCTGGGGGGGGCGCAGCCACTGTGGGCACGGCTAGCTCTGTTTTCGGTTGGGGTGGCCTCCTGCAACCCTCTGCCAGCGAAAACGGAGCTCGAGAGGACTTCCAAGCTCTGTTTTTGTTAAAAGAGGCACTACAGGCCAGTCCTTCTCGGTTTCCAGGGCAGCCCTACAGCATCCGGGGGCTAGATCTGCCCTTGACTTTGACACCCTTGTTGTAGACCATCTGTGTACCCAGTGACAGATTTTAATAAGGAAAAAGAATTAGAATAGCATGCTTAATGCTAATATGAATTTCTTCATCTGTGTAGACCTCCCTATTTATTTCAGTAGATAATACAAAGATATGACTATTTCTGCTGAAATAATCATATCATTATATTGATATTTGGGGGTGGGGGGTTGTCCACCAGCTCAAAGCAAATGCAGACTCTTCCATTTGGTTTTAGAGTCTTAATGAAATGTTAAGGGTGTGTGTGTGTGTGTTTTCTTAAGTTTTCGCGGGCATTTATATGTATGGTATTCAGCTTTGTTCAGGTATTTTCCCACATCGTTATAGTTGTGCTTTTAAAGCCTGCACTCTCAAACAAAAATCTCCACACCACAAGCCAGGCAAACACCTGGGTACAAACAGACTCCCCCGACACCTCCAGCTCAAACACACCCCAACCAGGCACCCAGATGAAACCTAGCTTCCTAATAAATGATAGCCGTCCATTTACCCGGAGCCAAGCCGCACTAAAAGCCTCCAATACAGGAAACACAATGTTGCCAGCCAATCAAGCCAAAAAAAGCCACAAAACAGACAGAAGATATTAGAAACACCAATCAAGCAGAACACAGCAAACTCCAAGACCAATACAGACCAAGACTCCCAACCAATCAGGGTGAAGAAAAAACCATTCTGGCACAGCAATAGGCTGCCCCAAATTTAAATCTGAAACCACTATAAAAGTCTGACTCACAGATGAACACTATACAGAAGCCTGATGATGGCAGATGAGATTCTGCCGAAACGTTGCTACAACTTTAAAAGCACAACTACAATGACATGGGAAAATACCCGAACAAAGCTGAATGCCATACATACATACATACATACATACATACATACATAAGTATTTATGTATGAGATTCCTTAAGCAGCCAGTCTTCATTTCAACAAAAATCCTCTTTTGTCCAAGAAAAATAGTTTTGAGTTTTGAGCAGCCAGTCTTTTAACACACTGTATCTTCCTTCTGTCTGCTTATGCCATTTTAGGTTATGCCCTAAAATGTTTTAGCAGAATTAAATTTCAGCGATGTATCCGTTAATTATATATATATATATATATATATATTTGTCTTGTAGGAAAGAAGACCAGAAAGAACATTTTGCCTCCTCTTTGAAAAGAATAGAATTAAATCCAGATGAAAAAGGTACTTTAGAAGAAGTTATAGCAGAAGATCAGAACCTTCAAAATGAAAACCGAAGAGCTGGACATGATTTTAAAGAATCCAGTTCTGAATGTAGTATAGATTGCTTGGACGCTACTGCATTACCAGCAAGAACCAAAATGGAATCCATTCTTGAAACAGAGTTAAGACCAGTCAGGGATTCCAGTGAAAATACTCTGTTGCACAATAACCATGAGTTGAAACTTCAGATTGAGGCAACTGCATGTCATAAAATAACAGAGCCAGAATTCACAGAAACACAAAATAAAGATGGAGATTTTAATTCTGGCAGCTCAGTAAAACCTGAAATGTTAAACTTTGTGGGAGACTGGCCAGTAGAACAAACTTTGGCTCAAAGAGTGAAAAGAATTAAAAGATTAGAAAAACGTGCCAGGAGGGACAAAGGAGATTCAAGTATGCCAACAGCTACTCTTGATTCATTAAAAAATACGAGTGAAGATAAAACATTGGATTTGATAGACTGTCATCAGGAACTTCCACTTTCTGACAACAGGTGTGAAGATAAATGGGATGAAAGTGACTGTAATTTTCCTTCTATGTTGGTGCCTGAGGTTAATAATACAGAAGTCCATACGACAGAATTGCTGATGGTAGGAGACTGGCCAGTCCAAACTTTGCAGCAAAGACAACACAAAATGAAAAGGATAACCAAGCGAGACATTAATGAGACAGGTGGATTAGAAAACAGTCAAGATGGTGTCAGCGTTGGTGATGGGACTGCAACTTCTCAGCTGAATGAGACCTCTGCAGATGCTGAAGAGCTGTGGGCCTCTTCAAAGGGGGAACCCTTTCAAGGGTCTGAAATCACAGCTTCTGAACCTCTGAGTGAGAAAAAGCCAGTGCTGAATAAAAGAACACGTAAGCATCATAAATTAGCATTAACATTTACCAACAGTTTGGCCCTCAACAAACCAGTAGAACCACTGTCCCTGTGCAGTTGGACAGAAGAAAAACCCAATGAAGTTGTGGGGTCCCAGGCTACCAAATCTTCACAGACAGAACCACGAGATTTTGCCCTTCTGTGGAGACTGGAGAGAGAGATTGTCTTTTCAGAAGGTACAAAAGTACTGCACGGCAGACTCGATGGATTCGTACCCAAAAGAGTTGAAGCTATTCCAGGTTGTCCAGAAAAAATACCCTACAAAGTAACCTACGAGAGAAGCACCTATGTGGAAGAAAGGGAGCTGGTGAGAGTCGATGAATCTGAGCATCTCAATATTTTGTGTAAACTCTTTGGGTCTCTTTCATTCGATGCCATTAAAGATCTGTACGAACGATGCAACCGGGATATGGATTGGGCCACAGGGCTCCTGTTAGACTCTGCTGAGAAGCTCTGCAAAGAAGATGACGTTGGAGGCCTGCAGGAAGCAGAGGTTCGGCTCCCGGATGTGTCTCTTCCTTCGAAGAGACCCGCTGCGACTGAAGACAGGTTTGCCGGTTCTGTGGCAGGTACTCAAGCGACTGCGATTTCAAGGATTAGTCACGAATGCGAAATAACGAAAGTCCCCCTTGGTGACGACAGTGGAAACATTTCTGACCATCCTGCAGGACACGGCGTACATTCTTCTTCAGGAGAAAACGAAACTCATCCGTTACCGGATGCAGGAGAAGACATAAGCCCATCAGATCCGGAGGTAGATCCTTTGAACACGCAACTAAAACCAAGAATTTCTAGGAGGCTATTAGAGAATGATCCATGGAGGACATCCTCGGTTAATGAAATGGATATCGCTCTTCCTGACAAAGATGATGGCCCTTCGAAAGCCACCTGCGATGCGGAAGAAGATCAGCTTCAAGCAAGCTTACAGGAGGGCCCGTTTCCAGAAGCGGCGTCAGATTTGAAGCGAATGGAAGCAACCGATTTGAGCAGTGCAGAAAGCCACAAATCTGAGCAGGGCACAAAAATGGATTGTAAGTCCGGCATTGTGGTTCCGACACAAAGAGAAAAGAACGTCTCTGATCAAGATGATGGGACAATCAGGTTGCAGAATTCCATCCCTCCCTCAAAGTCCGTGACCATAGATTGTCTCGAACTGGTCTTAGCTCCTGAATTAGCCATGCAGTTAAGTGAAATATTTGGACCGGTTGGAGTTGATACAGGTAATAACATCAATGACTATTTTACTTCCATAAAGTAGTAAATTGATTCTGAACTGGGAACTGATGATTGTATATACCTAACAGATCTTAAGATTTAAAAGAACTGAAGAGGTTAAATAATAGATGTTGGTATAGATTAGGCAATAATATATAAGTATTCCAAGACTTTCTTTTGAATTAAGCCACTTTAGGTCATTGTTCATAATTCATGGTTTATTTTTGGCCTGCTACATGGGTTTGACATTTTTGTTCAATGGCTAGCTAGCTGCTAATTTATGGGAAGACTGTAATAAAAATCAAGTTACTACAACTAATTGCTCTGTTGTAGTAAAAGCTTTAATGTTATTTTATCTTATAACAGCAAAATCTGTTCCAATTACGGGCCCAGAATCTAGAGTGTGTAGGTGAACTAGTGCTACCCAGATATTTGTGACTTCATCTTTTATCACCTTAATCAACATTTCCACACAAGCTGCCAAGAGATTGCAGCAGAGAGAAATTTGAAAAAACAAGTAAATATGATTTTGGTCTTGGCTGACTGGCTGGGGAATTCTGGGAGTTGAAGTCCACAGATCTTAAAGTTGCCATGGTTGGGAATCCCCAGTTTATAACATTTCCATGCTTTCACATTATTTAGATGGCACACTTAAAAAAAGCAATTAAAACTCAGTTGGGTCTTACAAAAAAAGCATTAACTAAATAGAATGAAACTCTCTTTCAAGGTGTATGTGAATTTTATCTCTTTTTCCCCTCTCCTTCCATAAGGATCACTAACTCCTGATGACTATGTGGTTCATATTGATCTGAATTTGGCCAGAGAAATTCATGACAGATGGAAAGCATCTATTATGGTTAGTCAGCTTAAATCTAAAGATAAGCTTATTGTTGTTCATGACTTAATATTACATGGCATGCATTATATTATGGAATATTTATGTTTTTACTTGTTCTATAAATTATTGACATTTCAATAATTTGCAGAACAATTACATTGCACTTAGTCCAAATGTAGTCCAAACACTTGTCTTTAAAAATATGTGCAGCTAGTTCTTAACTTACAGGCATAATGGAGTGCAGAATTTCCATTGTAATTTGTTTCTCCAGACAAGGGCTACAGGTGAGAAGATCTCCCAGTTTCGATCTGTTGGTCATCCTTCTACGTTAGGTCAAAGGATTCCTGTCCCACTGAGGATGCGAACAATATGGCTAAAGAAGTAACCCAGAGAGGCATGCTTAAATTTAAGATAAGATAGGACAGGGCAGGGCAAGGCAGGACAATATAAGATAATAAGATAACCTTTATTTTCACTTTTTCTATGTATACACTGGCACACATTAAAAATGAAATTTTGATGCCTGCTCTGAAAAGAATACACACACACACACACACAATTCACAGAGTTACTTATATACATACAGTCCATTTTGAATACATAGCAAAACAAAACATCTTGAGAGTTCGCAAGATTGATACTATATAGTATAAAAGTATTAGAGAATCTAGTTGTTCTGCTTTAGCTACCACGAAACTACCCTATACTTGAGAAAATGGTGCTAGAATTAGGATATCAGTCCCAATTTGCACATACTGAAGCCTATCAGTGAGCAAAGCAAGAATCCAGTTGCAGCCCAGTTTGTCTCCTAAATGCTGAGGAAGGATCGTATTAAGTGCCAGACTAAAGTCAACAAACAGCATTCACATATGAGTATTTCTTTCCCCTGCGTGCGCCAGAGGTGGTATTCAGCTGTTTTGGATTGGTTCTGGCATATCAGTAGTGGAAATTTTGAGTAGTTCGGAGAACTAGCAAATACCACCTCTGGATGGCCCCGCCCCGTACCCCCGCCCTTTCCCATCATATATTCCCTTGTTTTTTAGCTCAGCTGATTTGCGTGGCAGAGTGGGTTGCCGCGCCTCAGCTGAGCTAAAAAGCAGCTCGCCTCACTAGCGCTGACACAGAGGGTGGTCTTTGAGTGCTGCGCATGCAGAGCTCTCTCTCATAGAACCGGTAGGAAAAAATATGGAATTCCCACCACTGAAGTGCGCCAAGCTCCAATGGAGAACAGAGGAAATAACCTCCTCAGTGGAACCATTCGGACAGTAAGCAAACTGAAGTGAGTCAAACACTGGAGGAAGGCCAGATACAATAAAGTCCTTTATCAGCCTGTCAAAACATTTCATAATGGTGGACATAAGTTCACCTGGAGGATAATCAGTAAGACCCGTGATTGAAGGATGTTTTGGGGGGTGCTGGCAAAGTAATGGCAGTTTTAAGTGTCCTGTTAGTATTGCAAGGTACTGATATTATCAATGTTTTGATTTAGAAGAGGAGAGAAGAAGAATTGCAAAAACTTCTTGAAGAAAGTAAGTATAGTCTTCAATTATCATGGTTCTTCTGTTTGTAAAATCCACTGTTGCAAAGATCTTACTTCCTTCTACACCCACTGCCACAACCAGCATTTCTTATGTATGGACTGCTTTTTTTTTTTTTAACAGAAATGTATCTCTTTTGTGACTTAGTTCTCTTTGTGGTTTAGTCAGTGTATATAAGTCAGTGTGGTCTATAGTTGCCTATTTTTATGTTTGGCAATTTTTAAAAAGTGCAGCATCTCACCGGCTGAAGGTTGATTCCACCTTCCATCCTTCCAAGGTCGGGTAAAATGAGGACCTGGATTGTTGGGGGCAAGAGGCTGACTCTGTAAAATGCTTAGAGAGGCCTGGAAAGCACTACAAAGCAGTGTGTAAGTCAAAGGGCTATTGCTATCTAATGACCACAGACTACAAGTGAGTAAGCAGTAGGTTTCACAACTGAGAGAAACCCTTGTGAGAAACATTGTATTGTGATCGTTTATTCAGCACCAGAATAAGTTTGTGCTTTTAATATAATTTATTGCTTGTTTATTAAGGTTTTAACCTACCTTCATCACTTATAAATAACTTAAGGCAGAAAAGATGCCTAGTACTCCTTCCTTCTCCTGTTTTCCCCACAACAACAACCCCGTGTGGTGAGCTGGACTGAGCGAGAGAGACTGATCCAAAGTCATCCAGGTAGCTTTCATGCCCAAAGCAGGATTACAACTCAGCGTCTCCTGGTGATTGGCCCACCCAGTCAGCTTTCATAGCTAAGGCGGGACCAGAATTCACAGCCTTCTGGTTTCTAATCCGGTACCTTCACCACTAGATCAAACCTGGACAAGTAGAAAAGACGGCTGTGGACATGTTGTTTTTTACCCTCATCAGTGGAGGTACACCTAAATAGACCTAGGCAAACAATCAGAGGTGCTATTCAACTGGTTCGGACCAGTTTTGGCGTACCGTAGCGGAAATTTTGAGTAGTTCAGAGAACTGGCAAATACCACCTCTGACTGGCCCTGCCCACCTGCCCCCACCCTATCCTGTCCTATATTCCGTTGTTTTTTAGCTCAGCTTATTCACACGGCAGAGCGGAGTGCTGCACCTCAGCTGAACTAAAAAAACAGCTCCCTTCACCAGTGCTAACAGAGGACGTTTTTTGATTGTTGCACGCATGAAACACGCTCTCATAAAACCGGTAGGGGAAAAAATTGGAATCACACCACTGCAAACAATGTATAAATGACAGTAACTATTTTAGTAAAGAATACTAAAATAGAATTGATACACACGATGTATTGGTGTGTGTGTAATGTAATACATTTATTTTCCTGTCCATCTTCAAAGGGGCCAAAGTTTGTTTCTGGCTCTGCAATTTGCAATCTCAGTCAACCTTTAACTACATAAGAAAACCATTGCATTCGGGTCCCTCTCCTTATTTTCTTTAAGATCGTCTCTTTTTTTTCCTTTTTTTAAAATCTAAATAAAATGCCATTTCATCTCCCATTTTTATTTGTCCTGAAGAACCTACACTGTTTGAGCAGCTGCACCCAGGCAAAGTGGACGACGTGCTGTCCCTGTACGCTGCTGAGTTTCAAGAGCAGGAAAGTTCATCTACAGCTGGGTCGGCTGAAAGCTCAGCAGCTTCTGATGTTTTTCCTTACATGGATCATTGGAACGTCCACACTCAGAGAGTCTCACTTCGGGAGATCATGTCCGAAGAAATTGCGCTGCAAGAAAAACTAACAGGGGTAGGCTATTTGCTACAGCTTCGGCTGGGTCTATTTCCTGTACATCTCATCCTGAGAGCTGGGTTGTCATAGTGGTCCCAACAACCCCAGCTGCCAATCTTCCAGTGCTTTGCAGCATTGTGTTCTCTGTTCTGGGTCCCCAGTAGGTTCCGCAAATCCCGCCTTCCAACTCCATAAGCCTAGAACAGGGGTCGGCAATCTTAAACACTCAAAAGACCCAGAAAAGTCCTAACTGGAAGCTCCCCTCTGCCCCCGGTTCAATTCTGGAGCTGACCGGAGGTCCGATTCCCCCATCATAGAGTCTCCTCCTAGCATGACGTCCTTTTTCCTCTACCTGTCCTAACCAAAAGCCCTATCAATTGTGGAGCCAACCAGAAAACCCGCTCCTTGCCATAGAGTCTCCTCCTGGCGCTGCTTCCCCCCATCCCAAACCAGAAGCTCCCCTCAAAATTGTGCTGCTGACCAGCAATAGGGAGCTGCAGCAGAAGGATGAAAGAGCCACATGCGGCTCCAGAGCCATGGGTTGCTGACTCCTGCCCTAGAAGGACAAGTAGCTACAAGAGGACACAGATGGTCAAATGTGGATTGTCATACAAATCTGTCCTTTCTGGATGTGCGTTGCGAAATCGGATGCACGTATGTTGCATCCTGACAGCACAATGCACATTTCATCATTCGAACAAAATCCTGGATTTGTTAAAGTGTATTGCCAAATAGATCCCACTCCCCCCGCCCCCCAAGAATTCACAGTGGAAGTCATAACACTTCCCCTCTGTTTCCTCAAAACAACCCCGTAGGGTTGGGTGGTTGGCCAAAGAACTGCATGGCATAACTTCATAGACTCTGAGAGTCCCTGTAGGCTCAAGAGTATTTTGAACCCAGGTCCCTAAAGCGCTAGGGCAGCACCTTAAATATTATATCATTCTACAGAGCAGTAGAACTATTGTATATACCCTTGGATAAGCCAAGAATTTTAGATGCCAAAATGCCCTCAGAAGATCGGGTTTACCTGTGTGTGGCTGGGCATTATGTGTTGTAATTGTACAGTAATGGGTAGTCCTTAATTTACACCAAGTTTGTTTAGTGATCATTCAAAGTTATAATGACACTGAAAAAAGTGACAGGATTATTTTTCACACAACTGTTGTAGCATCCATATGATCAAAATTCAGACACTGGGCAACTGATTCATATTTACGATGGTTGCAGTATCACCTTTTGTGACTTTCTAACAAGCAAAGTCAAGGGGAAGCCAGAATCACTTAACAACCGTGTTACTATCTTAACGACTGCAGTGATTCACTTAACAGCTGTGGCAAGAAAGGTCGTAAAATGGGGTAAAATAACTTTCGCTTAGCAGCGGAAATGTTGGGCTCAATTGTAGTCATAACCCAAGGACTACTTGCATACTTATGGATAAGCCAAGAATTTTAGGTACCAAAATGCAATCAAAAATCGGGTTCACCTTATCTGTGGCTGGGCTTATGCCCCAATATATATGATGAAATTTTTTTAAAGTTACAGTGCCCCTATTTCTCATATGTATTTGTGGATAAGCCAACACTCAAATTTTTAATCCAAAATACCATGAAAGATGCATGGCAGTTTACCCATGGGTAGTGCAATGTTCATAATACTTCGTTTAAAAGTTTGAGGATTGGCTCACCTGCAGATATATGCCAGTAGAGGTGGTAATAACTAATGCAAAAATATGAAAAGTTGTGCCGTGGTTTATGATTTGCACCGTATCATTGTAGAAATGCTTTAGAGGTATAATTTTTTTCTCTCTCTTTTTTTTTTTTGTTGGTATAGAAACCTTTTCCTTGGATTGCTAAAAAAGACTGTGCTGCTAAACTGAAGGAAAAACAACTTTTGGAGTTATTCCCAACCATTAACGCAAACTTTTTGATGGACATCTTCAAGGACTACAAGTGGGTCTTTCTTTCATAATACGATGCGCCATCGGTTACGTGAAAGTATTCTGCCTGAAGTGACTCCTTGTGTTGTGTTGTTGTGTTTAATTTGTCAGTTATTCCTTGGAACAAACTGTCCAGTTTCTCAATAGCGTTCTAGAGGCAGATCCCATAAAAACAGTGATAGCGAAAGAGCCTGCTCAGAATGCCAGACGTTCTCCTAGCAACACTTCCAAGACCCGGGATAAAAAGGTAAAGGCTGTTTCGCATGCATGTTGCAAATCTGATTTCTGAAAAGGACTTTTACAAACACATAAGTTAAGGGGGGGGGGGGGTGGCTTGATGTGCTCTGAGCTTGGTTGTTTTCTTGCAGAGGTTTCATTAGGCAAGTAGGGGAAAAAGTTCAAAAGAGACCGCCAAAAAGATCACAAAACCTTCCTAACCAACAATCAGTAGCCAGATAAGCAGATTAACATCAAGTGGTAAACAAGTACCCCACTCAAGGAATTACAAACTCAATAAACAATACCCTAATCAAGAACACTTCCGCAATATTGACAGGGCAAGCCGCTTGTATAGAAACAGAGAGCAAAACCCCCTCGCTTCCAGAATTGATGACATAACTTAATTGGGTCATGAAATGTCCACGAGAAAACCACCCATCTCAGAGGGCACCAAGGATTCCACAGCCTTTCTCTTCTACCCCGACCTCTATAAATCCCATTCCCTTCTAACACAAATGTTGTTCCCTAGTTGGGTCATGAAACTTCCCCAAGAAAACTCAGCTTGAAGGACCCCACGGGGTCTTCTCCTTCCTCTTTCTCTTCCTCCTTTCTGTGATGACCTGGGGTGTGGCACAAAGGCAACCCAGTCAGATAATCAGGAGGAATCCCTTTATTATCTCCAACTTTGCCTTCAATGTCCAGGTTACATTCTGGCTGGATAAAAACTCTCCCAGGAACAGCCTTTGACTGCAGAGAATCAAGTCCAAAACATGGTCAACAAAAACTGTAACTTTAAGTCCAGTCAAGCCAAGCTGAGGTAATTAGTCAGGCAGGGCAGGAGCAAGAATTCCATATGTGAAGGCACGGCAAAACTCACATGGTTGGAAAGACAACAAGATACAAAGACAACATAGGATAAAGTCATGTTTGCTCCCAGCAGCTACTGCAGTCAGCATTCAGTTCTTTTAAACTTTCATTCCCAGGTGTGGCTAATGAAGGTAATCAGGGCCCTTTCCTCCCCTGTAAGCCACCCAACCCACTTTGCTCCCTTCTCCATTCCTCCCTACGTGCCCTGGGATGAAGAGGAGGTGGGCCTGAGTCTTTCTCTGAACTCCCTTTCCTTTGTTCTACCTCTCCCCTGCTCTGCCCAGCCAGACTTTGCCCTTCCACAGCCTCCTCCACAACCAATGGAGCCATACTTTCACTCCCTGTCAGCTGTTTGTCTTCCTCCTCGGATTCACTCTCCGACAGGGGCATGACACTTTCCTTTTCCCCCTTCTCCACTCCGCAAACCCTTTCTAGCATTGATGATGTTACCTAGTTGGGTCATGAGATGTCTGTAAGAAAACCACCAGCTCAGAGAAGATCAAAGACCCCTCCCCCCAAACAGTTTCACCCTGAGCTACAAATAGATTGGATCCTGCAACATTATCCTGGGACGCGTACCCTTGTCTTCATTTGTCCAAATATATTTGTCCAAATATATGTTTCTATTGGCACTAAGTGAAGCTCACTTCCCACAGTATGGCCTTTTTCTCGGTTGTCCTTGAGCTAAGCCTTGCATTGTGTCTATCAAGACCTCCCTGTTCAGTCCCAGGCTAAGAGGACTAAAGAGCTGGAAGACATTCTGAGCGAGAAGGGATTCCAAGACACTCAGTATCCAGGCTACGAGGACTTCAGGGCCGAGGCGTTTCTTCACCAACAGCAAAGGCAAGAATGCCTAAGGAAAGCGGGAGAAGCCTATCGCATGGGGATGAAGCCAGTCGCGGCGTTCTATGTGCAACAGGTAACTTCGTTTTTGCCAGGGACGAAGCAGCATTTCAGCACAAAGGACACCCATTCTGGAAAGCCACAAACTGCACGGGAATGTTAGGAAGGAGGACGTGGTTTCTCAAATGACGCGGCTGTCAAAACTTTAGTTTTAAAATGGAGATTGTCCTCCTCCCTTCACCTCCCATGATTTCATAGGTCACTTTTTTCAGTCACTAAAAGAATCGATGTAAGTCAGCAACTACCTGTATACTGATTCACTTAAGAAATGTGGCGAGAAAAATCACAAAATGAGGCCATTTTTCACTTAACAAATTTCTCCCTTAGCAACCGAAATGTAGGGCCCAATTGGGGGTTGTAAGTTGAGAACTACCTGTATTCATGATCGGTTGCTTTTCGTAGTCGGTCACAGATAATGCCCTGTAATGTTTTTAATTCCTTCTGTTCCTGTTTCATACCTATGTTTCACTTGAACTGCAAATACCTCAGGGGTGGGATCCTACTGGCATAACAACCGATTCGGGGAGTGGTGGAGTGCGCGCATGTGCGTTACCGGCTCCGGCAAGCATTTACCTTCTCCAGCTGACAAGCGGCACTCAGCTGTGCTGCGCAAAGCAGCTGAGGAGGTAACAGCATAGAATAAAAGACCGCCTAGAGCCCGGGTGGGCCAAACAGACGACCAGATGGTTGTCACAGCGAACCGATCCAGTGTCAGCTGCTCTTCGGGGCTACTGGTTCTATAGAACCAGGCCGAACCAGTAGCATCCCACCCCTGAGCTACCTGAAACAGATGTAACTGACCAGTGCGGTCAAAAGAGTCCGCTCATTGTTGTGAGACCCGGAGAAGGGTTCAGCTCTTTGCTCGTGGGGGGGGGGGAAACGGTGCTCCCCATAACCGGTACCGCACTTAAGTTGGCTGTTGTGTGTCTGTGTGTTTGACTGAAGGGTCAGCTTCATGAACAGAAGATGAAAGAAGCCAACCAGGATGCGGCTCAGCAAATCTTTGAGAAAGTCAACGCTGCCAAGCTGCCCATCAACTTTTTGGATCTGCATGGTCTTCACGTGGATGAAGCGTTGGCTCACCTCTCTAGAGTCCTGCAGGAGAAAACCAAAGGTAAGAGCAGGGGTGGGATTCTACCGGTTCGGACCAGTTCTATAGAACCAGTTGTTATGATTCTGTGCAGTTCGGAGAACCGGCAAATCGTGCCCCTGGCTGGTCCCACCCCTCTCAACCCTCCCCTCCCCACCCAGCCAGTCCTTATCGCACTCGCACAACATTGCATGCAAGCCCGACTCGCTGGCTGCGTTCTTTCCCACCAGTCACTCCTTAAGGTATTTCTTTTTTTTCCAATTCTGGGAGTTGAAGTCCACACAAGTCTTAAAAGTTGCCACGTTTGGAGACCACTGCCATGGAGGGGGTGGGGGAGACACCCGCGGCCCATTTTAGCCACCTGAGGAACCGTGGGCTGGTCTCTTGATATTTCCAGCCCAGCCCCACGGCCCAGATTTAAGCATCCTGCGGGCAGGTTCTGGCCCTCAGGCCTTGAGTTTGACCCCGCTGACTTACAAGGTCCCTTCCAACTCTTGTATAATCTGTAAGTTTAAAATGCCGAATGTCTGAAGAGAGAACGTCTCGCATTCTTGCGAAACAGAACACAGCCTGGCAGGCGGCATACCATACCTCTACGTGATCACTGGAAGGGGAAACCATAGCCAGGGAGGAGTTGCTCGGATCAAGCCAGCAGTTACGAAATACCTCACCAGCCACAAATTCAGGTGAGTTCTCCACATCTTGTAATCAAGCATTTTGCAGTTCTACATTTTTAACCGCTTCAGGGCTGGCGCTCTCGTTTTCTTCAAAGGCTAAATGGATCAGTCTGGTCGTGATTCTCTACTACAGGCAGTTCTCGACTTACAACCCCAATTGAGCCCCAGCTTTCTTGTTCGCTAAGCAAGGCTGTTGACAAAATGAGTTTTTGCCCCATTTTACAGCCTTTCCTTGGCCGCAATTGTTAAGTGAATCCCTGCGGTTGTGAAGGTGAATCGGGCTTCCCCATTGACTTTGCTTGTCAGAAGATCGCAAAAGGGGATCACGTGACCCTGGGACGTGTTCATTTAGTGACCGGGTCAAGTGCAACATCACTGAAAAGCAACTGATGACCCTTTTTCCGCACTCAACAACTTTTTATAGCATCCCCATAGTCAGAGGTGATTTACGTTTGTATGTGTAATGACCTGGAGTGTAACACAAATGTAACAAAATCCAAAACATAAATAAATGTCCTTTAATGCCTCCAACTTGGCCCACTGTTCAATAATTCTCAGTTGGAGATAAAATGTACTCAAAAATAGTCTTCAAAAGAAAGCAATACAGTCCGGATTTAATGAGCAGATAGAGGTGAAATAAAAAACCAAACAAACTACAATGATGAAATTTCCACAACGGAACAGGAGAAGTAATTACCAAATTCAGGGAGATAATAAGGCACAGTCTTTTGGAAGGACGCCAACCAAGATAACTTCAGACCAAAATAACACACACTTTGCTTCTGGCAATGCTGTGTTGTAATCATCTCTCTTATATACTATTCTCCCCAGCTGCAACCAATGAGGGGGATCATGGCCGCTTCTTCTCTCGTAAGCCAAGTTGTTTGTTTCTCCGTTCCTCTCTGCATGTCCTAGGATGAAGAGGGGTTGGGCCTGGTTCTTCCTCTGATTGCCCTGCCGGCCTCTGCCCTTCCCCAGCCTCCTCCACAACTTCCGGAGCCAGACCTCCACTCCCTGTCAGCTGTTCCTCCTCTCCCTCAGAGTCTGACTCTAACAAGGGCATGACACTATGTTTGCAAACTGGGTCCTATTTAGTCTCCCTGGGGGTCACGTGATCCCCTTTTGCAATCTTCCAGCCAGCAAAGTCGTTGGGGACGCCAGATTCGCTTAACAACTGCGTTACTAATTTAGCAACTGCAGCGATTCGCTTAACAATGAAGTGGCAAGGAAAGTTGTAAAATGGAGCAAAACTCACTTAACCAATGTCTCACTTAGCAAAAGAAATGTTGGGCTCCATTGTGGTCGTAAGTCGAGAACTGCCTTTATCAATATTTGGATCATACTGTCAAATTTTGATCACGTTCTCAAAGATCCATCTCATCCTGGGCAGCCTTTTTTTTTTTGAACTATTACCAACTGGTAGACAGTACAGGAGAAGAATAAAAACAAGGACAAATAGGCTGAAAACAGCTTCTATCCCAGAGCAGTAGCTCTGTTGAATTCTGCTGTAAAGTGCAATATTAATGCAATATCAGGGGTTATCAATTCAATTGAATAGAATGTGAAGGATGTGTGTTTGTGTTTATTTTCATAGTCATAAATTGTACACTGAAGATGGCATTTAATTTCATTGTACGAGGTGCAATGACAATAAACTAAACTTTTCCTGTTGCAAGTAAGTGTTTATGGCAACCTTTTCACGATCTGGACTCTCTCTGCACAAGAGCCGTTGCCCCTATGATACTTTTTAAAATGCCAACTGTATCCATGGTCACAAAAAAAACCACCCCACAACCGAAATAATCAAAGTTCATCCAAAGATTATGTTTCTGCCTGCACAGCTTCTCCCTCAGGGAAGCCGGAGAAGTTTTGTTACAACATCGTAATTGAAACAGAAGGAATAATAGCTTTGTTCCTTCTATTCCCTGTTGTTTGAATTCCTCCTAAGGTCATTTATTCAGAACAGTATTTAAGTTCAATCTCTTCCTCTTCTGCAGGTTCACAGAAATAAAGTCGGGCTGCTTTAAAATCTTGTTGGAATAGACAGGAAGTCACCAAGAGGATCGGAAAAACTGAGGTTACCAAAGCAGAAACAACTTCACGTTTTAATGGGATAAAAATATGTGACTTGTCAAAAACAAGATTTCACTGGAAAGGGCTTAACCGTCAGCAGGTGTTTGTGTCAGTGTGTTTTTCTCTACCAAATCTTTGTGTGTGTGTGTGTGTGTTTGAATGAGGAGTATTTTTTATAAGTCTTCTGCTTATCAAGAAATGCACCCAGGAATTACCTTGAGAACAAAAAATAACATTCTCAATGGAAAGCAAAAGGTTCCAATCGGAAATGCTCTGCCCTTTTCATAAACATCTGGAACATAGTGCTTTTTTTTTAATGGTCTCTATTCCATTTTAAAACAATTCTTGAAATTATGGCCGAGCTTACACTGGATGCTTCAAAGAACTCTACGAAGTTTCAGGTGATAAGAGCTAACGATTATTTGCCTCCCTGTCTGCTTTTCACAAGAATCCTTGGCTCACTTCCGAAAGGGGGGAAAAAATGGGTTGCATTTATTTTCAGGCAAAAAAAGAAAAGAAAAAGAAAGGTAGTAGCTTGTATCTCAGCTTTTCAGATCTTTTTTCTTCTTTCCTTTTAACTCTCTAATGCATTGACAGGCTGCCTGATAGGACAGTAAAAATGTGATGAGGAATAACAGGGAGGGTCTATTATTCACTTAGAGCTTTGGCCTTGACTGCTTATTTGGATAAGTGTCATTTGCTAGAATCGGGGGCCTTTTCAAAAGCCCCTGTTATTGCAAGGATAAGTCTCTGCTTGGGAGCTTTTGATGCTCCCACAGAACTCAATATGAGCAGGCTGACCCTATCAATATTAAGATCTGCCACAAGTGCAATAAGCTTTGAAAATGAATACAGAAGTGTACATTCAGGTATATGTTTGCATTTTGGCTTCTAGAGATGTGAGCAAAACTCCAGCCTACAATGGTTATTGCCAATACTTCTGGAAAAGAAATATGAAGGAACCCCACCTGTTCTAACGCCATAAAAATGATGCTTGTTCCTTTTAAAGAAAACACCAGCACCCGTTTTATGACAGCATATGAAAAATATGATCAGCTCTGAGCACATACTCATGTCATTAAGTAGAACACAAGTAGAAGACTCCTATGGCAGCTATTCAAATTATTGTGCATCGACTGATATTTTCATTTTCATGTTGTCATTTTGCCATGAATTTACAATGGTTTTGTCAAACTAGCATCTGGGAAGCCAAAGCATTATAGTGCATCCATGCAAGTCTCGGCGGTATCTTTGTGACCTGCTTTTCAAAATCTTTTCTTAAGACATAATATAATTGTACATTTGATATATTCTTCTTGTTGTTGTTTTTTTTAAAAAAGATGAGATTGCTGAAGGGAATATGTGACGGTTTATGGTATTTTTAAAAACACATTTCTGAATTGGATAGCAGAGCTGAGCTTCTGCCATGGTGTTCAGTTCCTCTCCACTGAATCAATCAAGACAAATAGAAATATTGTAAAGTCATTTATTGCTTTCTTTAGAAAAACTGAATGTACAGTTTTACGTTTCTCCTTTCAAAATAGAGCAGCAATTTTCTTTCAGATATTTTTTTCTTTCCACTACGCTTTTCTTTTTAAAATGCAGATATTATGTAAGCCCGCATTATGAATTTCAGACATTTGTCAGATCCTTTAAAACGGCATTTCAGTAAAATCTGGAACTAAGAACGAGGAGGGAATAAACTGCAAGCGTGCCCAATAAAAAACTACCCCGATCAGTATTATCCCATCGAACTCATATTTGAAATAGATTATTTTAAAACTGTCCTGATCTTTCGAAAGACAGGACTATCCATCTGGGTCTGTCTTACCATTGTTTGTGCAGGGATCATAAGACAAAAGTAACTTGAATATGATATAGTCAAGGGCATCTTGTCAATGATTTCGTTTTGTTTCTCCTCCCCCCCTCCCAATTTGCTCTGATAAGAGTTGCAGGGCACGTAGATGTAACTCTGTCAAAGGTGGGATTTCTCCCCCGATCCCATTCTGCCTTGCCTTAATCCACAGTGGGAAGCTAGAAAGCTCTTCTACTTTTGTAATGTAGACTTCACAAGTAGCCGTGGCCTGCGAGGCTCATGCATCCTGTTGCTGGCAAGGGTGGCTCCCCAGGAAGAAAGAAAAGGGAAGGAGGTGTATGAGCAACCACACCTGGGACTTACTTTTCCCATAGGTTGTTCGTTCCCTTCTGACCATAAGGATGCCAGATGGTTCTCCAAAGTGATCAGAGTCCTTGTTGGGACGTTGTTAGCACTGTGGAGGCCTAGATAGGTCTTTCGTAGTGAATTATTGAATTATTTCGCTCAAGATGCTTATAGGGAAGGTGGACTCTTTAAGATTGCCTCATGACCTGGATCGGATTAAGAACCGTTGGAGGAATGAGAAGTTTGTCAGTCAGATTCAATAGGGCTCCATATTTGTCCCCATGATTTAATCTCTTATTCCGCGGAGAGATGATTTAATCTCTCTTTCCACAACCCAAGAGCATTGGACAAATTCTAAATTCATCCTTCCAGAGAGTATTATGTTTTTATTGTGTGTTTTTTTCCTTTGTTGCCATTTGCTTGCTTCCATTACTGTAGTTTGGGGGGTGGGGGGGAGTCTGTCCTCCCAGAGCTAAATCTTTAAAAAGATTGTGTAACCTTTCTCGTCTCATGTAGCAGAGGACAATGTCAGAACGTTCTCCACCCACTCTCAATCAGAAGAAAACTCCCAATTTCTCTTTGTTTTATGATTATATGGAATTATATATGGGGGAGGGAGAACAAGAGACAAATAATTGTACAGATCAGCTATTTTCTAGGTTTAAAAACCAGGATAACTGGTTGTAGTAAGAGCATATTAAGTGGGGGGAAATGTCTGATTAAGATAATTATTGCTTCAGCTCTACCCTCATTCACTGAGAAATGTGACACTTATTTGTAAATCTTTGTTATGCATGTGTTCAACAAAACATATTTAAATATCTGCTTACTTCATTAATGTAATTGTTGAAACAATGCCTCTACAGTAATCAGGACTTACACATTTCTAATGAAAAACTACATTTTGTAGTCTGAATAACATATATTGCAACAACACAACATGCCCAGAAGTAACATTTGTAATGGAAAACCAAAAATGGGGAAAATTCTATATTTTAATATGCCAAAATGCAGAGCAGAATGATTTTTTTTGGGGGGGGGGGGGGGATTGAGGGATTAAAATCATTTATAATGATTTATATTTATAATGCCCTTTCATGCAAATCCTTCAATAGGAGCTAGCCAAGATGTTTCTATATTGTTCAAGTAGTCTGCAAAAAGGTTAGAAGATGATTGCACAAATAAAACTGAGGTTTTAAAACTTGAGAAAAATGTTTGCTATAGCCATTGAAATCTGCAAAGATATTAAGGGAAGTCTACTCTTAAATAGATTGCCAACATTTCCATAATTATATTAATACTTTACTGGGCTTCAGTAAAAGCAGCATTAAAATTGCAATACTTTTAAGATTTTCCTTAGTCTTAAATTGAGGGGGGAAATAACATTTCCTGTACTCGGTTTTTATTATCAGACTTTTTTAGATTAACCTACAAAAACTTTTAACAAGGTAGGGATTTTGATTAGGACGCAAGATTTGCGGGAAAACGTTTCTCAGGGTAGCAATTTCTATGAGAAGTGCCTAAGGAAAATAAAGCCTTCCCAGCCACCCCCCACCACCTTTTTTTTTCAACCAATATCATTGTGAATAAATACTATTAGCATGAAATGTGTGCTCTTAAATTTCACAAATGTTTGTTAATTGCCTTTATTGAGAAGAATTTACATTATGATACTAAATAAAAACTGCAACGTGAAATGAAATATACACATTCATTTACATCATACAGCTTTTTCCATGGATTTGTATGAATAAGTAACCACATACCTACCGGTAGCTTCAAGAATACTTGCAATCCCATCAACTTTTGATATGACTGCCGGTTTTGGAAAAACAGAGGTATATGATTACCTACATCCCATATTAATATTTATTCATGTGAATCTAAATTTCAAGTGAATGTTCAAAAAGGGATGGAAATATTACCAATCCTCTCAAGGAAGAACGTTGGAGTCTCAAGTAACTAACAGGAAACTATTTTGCATTAATGGTGCAGAAAGTGCATTCGTAAAACATCCAGTATTGCAGTACTCACCGTCATATTATGGGATATATATGTGTATGTGTGTATATAAGTGAATTCCTCGTGTTTTTGTTAAGCATACAAATCTAATTCCTTATTTTTTTTATATTGCTTGGTTGTTTGCACATGGATTTTTTTTTAATAAAGAGTTTTGAATAAATACCTTAAAAAAAGAAATTACAGGTCATTTATTTAAACATTTTTCATTTCTCAACCTTCATTTTAAATGGAACAAAAGTCATATTTGCATTAGAGGAGTAAGCTTTCTATACGTAAAGAAAAATAAGATTGTGCAGAAATTAGTGTAGTTGTAACTTTGGCTGGCCTCTAAACCAGTGGCTGCAAGTCAAGGGCTTTCCTGTATAACAGTCCTTTTAATAGTTCTTTTGCACCTTAGGGAATTCTTGCACACCTTGGGAGGGGGGAGGGGGCTGAGTATTGTTTGTGTGTGAGAGAGAGAGAGCGCAGCAGAGTCAAAGACGCATTTTCCAAATTTTTGACACACAGAGCCCAAAAGGTTCGCCACCATTGATCTAATGCCCAGTAAAACCCCTGCCAGAATGGGATTACAGCTAATTCTCCCACTTACAACAGTTCGTTTAGTGACCGTTGGAAGTGATGGCATGGGGGGGGAAGTGACTTGTGATCGTTTTTCTCACTTAGGAGCGCTGCAGTATCCTCGCAGTCACATGATCGCATCCCGGGGTGTGTGTGTGTGTGTGTGTGTGTGTCGCGCAATCCCCTTTTGTGACCTGACAAGCAAAGTCTACGGGGAAAGCCAGATTCGCTTAAGTTGGCTAACTTAACAGCTGCAGCGGCAAGAAAGGTCGTAACACGGGGCAAAAACTCACTTTGCAAATGTCTCACTTAGCAACGGACATTTGGGGCTCCGTTGTGGTTGCAAGTCGAGGACTACCTGTGTTTTGATTATACTGTACACCTGTAGATGGCAAAGCAACCAGTCAAGTCCTCCATTTTGGCTACTCTTCCTCTTCATATCATCACCAGCTGGGGAAATAATAAAAAAAAAAAACACAGTACAGTACTGACAACGGGGGGCTGAGCTCCTTGCAGGGTTTCCTGAGCCACTTGCTACAAAACAACAAAGACAACAGAAAAACCACAAGACAACCTCGGGGGGGACAATACAAGAAGCAGAAATTGCAACCTCTGGATGACACAAATTCACCCCTTCCTGAAAAACAGCCGTCCGTTACCTCAAACTCAGAAATCCAGGTAACCCTTGACTTACGACAGTTCTTTAGTGACCATTCAAAGTTTACAACAGCTCTGCAAAAAAGGACTGGTGAGCCTGTTTTAAAGTTACAACCTTTGCAGGATTCATACGTATGACCGTTGCTGTGTCTCTAGGTCACATGATCCCTTTTTGCGACCTTCTGGGCAGTAAAATCAATGGGGTTCAACGAGATTCATTTAACCATGGTGTTAGTAACTTATCAGCTGCAGTGATTCACTTAACAACTGCAGCAAGAAAGGTCGTAAAATGGGGGTGGGGGGAAACTCACTTAATAAATGTCCCTGTCAACTCATAAAATATGTCTGTGGTCTTTTTAGAGTTGCCAACAGAAAGGGAAGGGTGACCAGAGGGCAACTTGTATTCCATAAATGTTTTCAAAGATAGTAACTAGGTGAGCAAAGTTTCTGCCGTGCAAAATTCTGACTGGAGAGCATGATTGATGACTCTGGGCTATGGATGTGTCCCATTGGAGAATATGAATTATGATACAGATAACATAATCAGAGTTGGAAGGGACCTTATAGGTCATCTAGTCCAACCCCTCACCCAAGTGGGAGACTCTACACCATTTCTGACAAATGGCAGTCCAATCTCTTCTTGAAGGTCTCAAGTGATGAAGTTCCCACAACTTCCGAGGGCAACTTCTGTTCCATTGGTGGATTGTTCTCACTGTCAGAAAGTGTCTTCTTATTTTCAGGTTAAATCTGTCCTTCAGTTTCCATCCATTGTTCCTTGTCTGGCCTACAGGCGCTTTAGAAAATAGCTTGACCCCCTTCCTCCTCTCTGTGGCAGCCCCTCAAATATTGGAAAACTGCTATCCTGTCTCCCCTGGTCCTTCTCTTCACTAGACTAGCCATGCCCAGTTCCTGTAACTGTTCTTCATATGTTTTAGTCTCCAGTCCCCTAATCATCCTGGTTGCTCTTCTCTGCACTCTTTCTAGAGTCTCAACATCTTTTTTATAGTGTGGTGACCAAAACTAGATGCAGTACTCTAGGTGTGATCTTACTAAGGTTTTATACAGTGATATTAGCATCTCACTTGATCTCGATTGTATCCCTTTGTTAATGCAACTTAGGATTGCATTAGCTTTTCTGGCTGCTGCTGCTGCTGCACACAGCTGGCTCATATTTAGCTGGTTGTCTAGGTGTAGCTTACTAAGGCTTTATAGAGTGGTATTAGTACACCCAGCGGGTGGGAGAAAACCAGGGTCAAGGGTGACAATGAATGATGTGTCTCAGAGTCAGCCACCCCCAGGCAGCGCCAGCATGTTTACTCCTAATAAATCTTCTTTAAGTTTTGAAAATTTGGCTAGAGACTCATGATTTAAATGGGGATAACTACTGGAGCACTGACAGTCCCATTTAGCCAAAATTTTGGGCTCACTTATCGTAAGTCAAGGACTGCCTTCTCGCTGAGGAGCTTCCATATTTACCTTTCAAACTTTAGACCCTCCCAAGTTCACCCCAAAATTATGCCACTGACATTCACCAGACAAATCATCACATTTGGAAGTTTATCTTTGTTATGATATGTACAGAATAATCCCTGAGTAACAAGGATATGCACATGGAAACATTTATGAGAGTAGTTATGAATAATTATTCAGCCACACACAGATACACTAAATTGAGTTAAAGTTTACTTTAAGAAATAGCACAGTCCAATAAACAGTCCAGGTCATGTACGTTTTACAGTCCAAAGAATATCCAATTACAAAGTCTTCTTACTGGTTGCCTTTGTCATTTACAGGAAACAAAAATATCAAAGTATAAGCACAGCACAAATACAACAGAGAACCTTAGATAGCAACAGAATGTCAGAGAGACAGAATGTCAGAGAGAGCAAGCTATGATCTCTAGCTCCCTCTAATGGTGATTTGCAATATAATCAACCAATCGGAATATAGTAAAAATCAATACAGTGATATTGTCTTAAAGCTACAAACATACATTGTTGGTTTATATATTGCCAACCCAACTAATTGGTGGACAGATTCCTAACAATCTTTGCTTTGGGGGGAAGGAATTCCCCACCCAGAAGCCCCTTGCTTTCATGTCTCCCAAAATTCTTTTTTTCCCCTTCACTCCAGCAGACTCTTGTGAATTACTGGGGGTTGGTTATATAGGGCAGAAAAAAGGGGCGATCGTGAGATGCAAAATGTATTGAGAAGCGTTTGTGAGAAGCAGCTGTGGATTGGCTTGAGTTCCTTGGTGGGCGATTCTGCAGTTAGGAAGCTCTCCGGAGCAAAGGTAACATTACAACTTCCTTCTAAGATTGACGCTGGAGCGACCAAATAAATCTTTCCCACACAGCTTTTCATGGGCAACCAACACTGTGCCAATTGTGACTGCTATCTATTACCTCAGATTTAGTTCATGGGAAAATATTCATATAGTATTGCAAAACTTTGTTTTGGTCAAACAAAAAAGTCAGAGATTTTAAGGTTCTGCTTAGCTGGCATTGTTAACCAAGTCACATTCACCTTGTGGCCTACATGACACATTAATACATCACCCTGAATATTTATTTTTTAAATTACACTATGTTAAGCCCACTACATAAATTCTCCTCAGGATGACACCTGTGGTAAACCACAATGACATAAAAGAACAGCTGGAATATCTGGGGAGTTAATGAAATGAAACTGAATGTCCAATGAAATCTTATCAATGGCACCCTTACAACAAACTCGCCTACCAATGTGTGATGCAAGCCCTAAGTTGTGGCATTTGGGTGATGCAGTCGTCATGGGTGTCCTTCCTGCGTCCGTGCTTCTCTCCTCATGTCTTCTAGGGGGAGTTATCAATAGAAGAAAATAGTTGTAGCCCAGGGTTGAACGGTGGGGTCCTTGATGCTCTGAGGTGGGTCGTTTTCTTACAGATGTTTCATGTCCCATCTAGGGAACATCATCAGTGCTAGGAGGACAGTGACGACTGTGGGTCTTTGGTGGTCTCTGTTGCTTTTTTTTTGCAGATGTTTCATGACCCAATTAGGGAACATCATCAGTGCTAGAAGGGAGGAGGAGGAGGAGTATGGGGTCCTTAGTGCTCTTTTCTTGCAGACATTTCATGACCCAACTCAGGGGTGGGCTGCTGGGGGTTCACGAGAGCCCCCTAGCTAACCTTCTGTGCGGTTTGGAGAACCCCCAAATCCCACTCCTGGCTGGCCGTGCCCTGCCCACCCCGCCCCTCCCAGGAGTACCTATGCGGCCATTTTGGGATCCAGGTAAGTGCAGGGCACACACAAAGTCTCGGGGTGGGCAAAAAACAGGCCTCCTGGAAGTTTGGGAAGCCCAGAAATGGGCCTGTTTCCGGCTTCCAGTGAGCCTCCAGAGACCGGGGAGGCCGTTTTCGCCCTCCCGGGGCTTGAGGAAAGTCTCCGGAGCCCAGGGAGGGCAACCCATCCCACCATAGTGCAGGAGGCTGACTAGGCCACACCCACCATGGCCACACCCACCCAGCAACCAGGCAGAGAACCTTTAGCTAAAATTTTTGAAGCCCACCCTGACCCAAATAGATAATATCACCAGTACTAGAAGGGAGTGAGGTTGCTTCTAGCACTGATGATGTTCCCTAGTTGGGTCATGAAATGTCTGCAAGAAAACAACCCAGCTCAGAGAGCACTAAAGATCCCACAAGGGGCAGAAACTGCCAAACT